CATAGGCCTTTTTGTGATCAATTTCACTTGTAGCTTCCTCAAAGAACTCAAGTAGATTCGTTAAGCAGGATCTACCTCTCCTAAATCCATGTTGGCTATCCTTTTATAATGTTATTTGCATCTAGGTAATCTACCATTTTCACTTTCACTTTTGTGACCTGTTAAGGTACAATCGCTATGTGTGATCCCAGTTGAACAACCACTTAATGGCTTTGAGAAATGGATGAACTTAAACTGTACTTAAAATTAGCAGAATCTGTCTGTGAATTTAACTGACTGTAACTGGAGGAGTAAGTTGCTGACATCTTATGGAAATACATTGTCTTTTATGAATGCAAACAGTCAATCAATTATGTTATACTATTCTGCATTTTACACATAATATAATAGGATGGGATTAAATAACTTATGCCATATATTCTGGGGGGGGGTGTTTTTCATATCAGCACTTGTCCTTTAGCCTTTTCCAGTCCGTGCCTATTTGCTTTATGTGCTTTCTTTCCACCCCACTGAAACTATGAGTTTGCTGTGTCTTGCAATAAAGCGATACAACACTGTAGTTTTTATGTGCGTGCAAAAGCTTTTCTTACTGTGATTGCATTGATAAGAGTGTCCTAATCTTGTCTCAATAAGAAGACCAAAGTCTACACCTTAATAAAAACTAATTGGCAGCACACATCATTGGTTGGGGTATGTGTCAGCTTTGGGATTCTGTGACTCTGATTAATAGTGGTCTTTGATGCTGCCATCTAGTGGTCACATCTTCCATAGCAAGACACCAGCCTAATTGTAACATACACTGGAATACTTCTAACACACACTGATCAGCCATAACATTAAACCCACTGACTAAGAGGTTATCGCGTTACAAAGGCACCTGTCAGGGTGCCACTATATATTATGCAAGTGAACAATTAGTTCTTGATACTGACGTGTTGGAAGCCTGAAAAACGGGCAAGTATAAGGATCTGAGCAACTTTGACAAGGGCCAAATTGTGATAGATGGACGACTGGGTCAGAGCATCTCAAAAACAGCAGGTCTTGTGGGGTGTTCCTGGTATGCAGTGGTCAGTACCGACCAAAAGTGGTCCAAGGAAGGCCAACTGGTGAACTGGCAATGAGGTCATAGGTGCCCAAGGCTCATTGACATATGTGGGAGCAAAAGTTAGCCTGTCTGGTCCAGTCTCACACGAACATTACTGTAACACAAGCTGAATGGGTACGTGAGCATCAGAACTGGACCATGGAACAATGGAAGAAGGTGGCCTGGTCAGATGAGTCACATTTTCTGTTACATGATGAGGACGGCTGATGAAGGAAGTGTGATGCTCTGGGCAATGTTCTGTTGGGAAACTTTGGGTCCTGCCCTTCATGTGGACGTTACTTTGACACGTACCTAAACATCGCAGACCAAGCACACACCTTCATGGCAGCAATATTCCCCGATGACGGTGGCCTCTTTCAGCAGGACTATGCACGCTGTCATGCTGCAAAGAATTGCTCAGAAATGGTTTGAGGGACGGAGCTGTTTTGGTGACACGAGGGGGACCTACACAGTATTACACAGGTAGTTTTAATGTTATGGCTGATTGCTGTATGTCCTCAAGCCAAATTAATAGCAGATGTCTTCCCCCATTACTCTGTATATACCACCTCTGCTATTTCTCTTATTCTCATTGACTAGTACTTCATAGTAAAGTATTAAAAAGTAATAATGATGACTGTTTTACAATCCTCTCCATAGTACCTTTTTTATATCACCGTCAGCATGTCAACCAAGCCTTTATAAATCTTAAAATTATAGCCAGTGATTACCCCCGCTTCGCTGGAATATTATTTTTGTTATCTAACCATTGCAGGCACCTGAGGCACGAAATGAACAATAAAAAAGGTAATATTCCAATATTATAAGAACAGTACAGAAACAGCACAAAAATTGATTTTCAAAAAGTTTTACAAAAGCAAAACTTTGTAACCGTGCACGACGTAAACACTCCTCCTGGCTGTGTGAGTGTGTTAAAAAGCTGCGTTAGCAAAGATTCCTTTGATTAAAGAAATAATCCCTGCGCTAAAGCGGAGGTGTTCAGTGCTTTGTCAGAGTGCTGCCATTACTGCGATGGTGGGGGCCTGTGTGCACTGGACATTGGCCCACGGGAGGGGCCCCAAGCCGGTTAAATATTGACCAGCAGGGAAATGATTAACCCATTTCCCTCCCAGCTGCTTTTAAACCGGACCCACTTTCAGGCAGAGCACAGCCTGGCCCTCATCGACGGCCTGCCCAGGACCCGTCTTCCTTCCCTGCTGCTCTGTGACCCTTCTCTTTCTTCCTTTTCTTTTGCCTCTCTCCATCTGCCCCTTTTCCTCCCGTTTGCGTTCCCTCGCTCGCATCCTCTCGGCGTGGACCCCGCGTCGTTCCCCTGTGGGTGAGTATACTCCCGTGCGTCCGTACGTGTGCCCGCGTGCTTGTGAGTGTCGCTGCTCCAGTTTAGCTCATTGAAAGTGGTGGGGGCAGCGTGTGGCTCAGTGGGCTAAGCCTGTGTGCCTGTAATCAGAAAGTCGCCAGTTCAAACCCAGCCTCAGCACGTCTGCAGGTCCTTGAGCAAGACCCTTAACCCCCAGCTCCCTGGGCACCCCAACAGGTGGCTGCCCTTTGCGGACAGCTTACTCTACAAAGAGCAAGTTGAGAGAGGTGTAAAGACAATTTCCTCACAGGGATTTGGTGACACATTGGGACCTACACAGTATTAGACTTGCAGCTTTAATGTTATGGCTAATTGCTGTATGTCCTTCAGCCAAATTAATAGCAGATTTCTTCCCTCCGCTACTGTGTACATAAGTATCAATTATTATTATTAATAAAGAAAAGTGTTGGGTGCTGCGACATGTACCGCGGGAGTCCGAGAGCAAGAAGGAGGTGGACTGGAAGTGTACTGAAGCCTGAAGAGAGACAGACACACCCAGTCACCCAGACACACGCATGTTTCTGAATGAAGCGTTAAGCCAATTAAATCCTCAGTTAGTGACTGGGGCTTTATAGACAAAATGAGCCCGACTGCAATGGTACACTATATAAAAGGTTAGCAGCAAAATGGAGTCATACTGCTGCTCTGTTTACTGGCTGTACCTGTGTTCAGGCAGCATTTTTAGATGTAGTTCCTGTCTATTCCCGCCGGTTCCGTGGCTCTGTTCTCGCCAGCCGTCCCCCATCACCCTGAGAACTCGCAGATCCTCCCGAAGCCCAAAGAAATGTGCTGCCGACCATTAAGTGACGGGAATGTCAAAAATTCAAGTTCCAGTAGATTTTAGTGGCTTTGCTGCTGAAATTTACATTTACCCGTGTCAGTCCGGGCGTGCTGCCACCTAGTGGCAGACAAAGCGAAACGTCCACACAATCCTTTAGCTAGAATTCCATGAAACTTAAAAATAGTGATGGCTGAAGAATGACGAACAGCTTTTCCCACAAGAATGAATAAGAATCTATATAAGGCTAGTTATTTCTCATCATGAAACCGACCTCCAGTAACCATATTTCATTAGTTTTCCAGTATTTAGAACCTTGTGTTCTTCTGTGTTACTATGTTAATGGTTTATAAAATAAGATACAAAAATTACTGAAACAGCTGAAGGACAATCAAACCTTGTTAGACCTGAAAAAGCAATACTGACATTAACAAAAAAATGAGGCAGTAATAGGAATGACATGATGTGAGACGATAACAGGGGACAAAGGACCCATTCCCTCACCTTTTAATTGTTTTATTGTTTTGTTTTTCTGCAGATATGAACGGGAGTAAGGTCCACCAAGTATTTGGGCACAAATCCACTCAGGGAGTGTAAGCAAGGGGGGGGGGGGGGCGCGGCTTCCACTGCAGCCATAAACTCCTGCGTTTTCAGCAGAAGGGCTTGAGTCACTTTCATGGGGGAAGTTTCAGGCTGGGGGTGTCTATAGGCAAAAGAAAAAAAAAAGACAAATGGGGGTCAAAGTCACTCGTTACTCTGCTTGTGTATTGTTACAAATGCCCCCCAGTGCTCAACCTTCTGGGGTTTCCGCTTGCATTGCTGATACTGAGGATGTTTTGATGCTTCCTGACTTCAGCTGCAAGCAGAGTTCCACGCCATTCCATTCATCAAATGAATGTATTTCTGCAGCATGAACGTATGTATTGTTTTGCGCCGTGTTGATGGCTGACCTCTAATCCACAGGGAAACAGAGAAGCATGGGATTGCCGCATGTCACTTTTTAAAGACAACCCGATGTATAAGGGCCTCGGTGAAGATGTGAGGAAACCAGCATGGTCATTAAAACCCCGGTGCTGTGATATCGCCACTGTGCTTCAGGTGGTGTCAGCATGCCAGTGCTGGCTGCCTGTAACAGCAACTCCATGTGGAAGTGCTCTGAATTCCCGTGGAGGTGCTGTTATCTGCAGATGGACACTGTGAACTGGCTAGAAAGATGTGGGCGAGACCCTAAGAGATGTATACTGTAGTCAGTGAGAACAACCAGCCACACAAACCCAGGGGGACAGATCAATGACCTATGAATTGACAGCCAGCGATTGGCACTGACCTGCCTGTCAGTTCTGTAGGCCAATGAGCTGCTCACTCCACTTACCTGTGCATGGAATTAGAAGGAACAAACAAGGAATATTTGTAGTAAATGGAAGATGAAGAGCACCAGTTGTTACGATTTATTATGGAACTATTAAGTGCACCATAAGATTTATTAATAAAATTTGGCTACATATTTAACCTCAATGTGTCCATTTTAAATATTAAAAAATCAAGTTGTATAAATTACATTACATACGCTCTGCATAAGGTGACACTTATCAAATGTTTTTTGCTCAGTAGTACAACTTTATAGTTGCATTGATTTTTTTCTCCCCTTCAAAGAAAAACCCGCTTTCTCTTTCACAAACCAGAAATGACCGGGCTTTTTGGGAAGGTTGTCGGGGTGCGGATTTTCCCTTAATTCCCTTTTAAGGTTTTTTCACTTTCAGTTTCCTGTCCTCGGGAGATCACATGCACCCATCTTCCAGCCCCTTCTCCAGTGCAGACTCGTAGCGATGAAGGAGATTACGTCTCTGAGTATCGAAGATCATCTTGTACAAAAATGATCCTCTAGTACAAACTTGCATAACGATGCTTATCCGCGAGTCCATAATGCCTCAATAAAAAGTTATGTTACGTTCAAAAATGAAATTACGTACAGATGAAGCACAATTAGAACACCCAGCCCATTCCGAAGAAACGGAAATAAATATTAATAAAACTGAATTAAAATCAATAAAAGATTAAATACTACACAACGCACCACCTTATACTACTGATCAATTGTGCTTTGCGCATATTTATCGTTTTGCGCATATATACAGACTATTCCGTATTTTGTACATATTGTTAAATGTGACGTGTCTTGTCCTGTGCTCTGGTTGCGCACCCCGGAAAAGCGCTAATCCCGTCTCGTTGTGCTGTCCTGACCGATGACAATAAGGAATTGAACCTACATACCTACATGTCTTGAAAATAAAAATATAAAGACAAAACAGGATAAAAATATAAAGACAGGGATCATTTTGAGAAAGGTGCTTTACAAGTAAGGCCTACATCTAATCATTTAAATGTTCACTGTCATCAGGACTAATATGTCCCATTGTCGTGGAATCTATACTTGTATGAATGTGTGTGTGTGTGTGTGTGGTCCAGGTATACATTACATTGTAGGGACCAAATGTCCCCAAAATGTGATAAAAACCTAATATTATCTTCACACTCTGGGGACCATTTTTTCGGTCCCCACAAGGGCAAATTAAATTTTATAAAACTCTGTGACTGCAATCAAAAACTAAAAATGCCAAAAGACTTGTATTTTGTTTGGTTGCTTATGCTTAAGCTTAGGACCGGGTCGGAGTTAAGGTCGTCATGTTGGGATTAGAGTTTTCTCAATAGAAATGAATGGAGAGTCCCCACAAAGATATAATCACAAACCTCTGTGTGAGTGTGTGTGTGTTTGTGTGGCATGGTAGCCTGTATTGGGTAAGATGATGGAGGATGGATGGATATAATTATATACATTTCAAATTTGTGGAGGAAATTTTAAAAAGTACATACTTTGCATACTACAATTGCACCCTCCCCTGACAATGTGATGAGAGTAGCAGGCCTGGACCTTTCCCCCTCCCACTCTGGGTGTATGTAGTCTGCCCTTTAGGAGATGTGTCAGGCTGTCATACGGGACTAAAGCGAGGTACACAGAGGCAGACAGAAACCATCAACGATGTCTACAGCTCGTGACGAGCAGGAGCCCCCGCCACCTTCGTGCTTTTATGAAGACACCGGTAAGCATTCGCTCTTTAGAGGAAACTTCGTTTTCTCCATAATGTGTCATAATAAAGTAAACTTTATGAGTAGAATTTGCAGATTATTCTGCAGAAATGCTGCATTTTTCATTATTTTAATGTTTTTTGCCTAAGCTCCAAGTGATTCTAGGGAAAGTACATGCTGGGAGTGATATGCAAGAGCTTTTCTTCTCTGATAAACTCCGCACCAACATTTTCGAATAAACCATTATTGTATACAATAACTAAGTGTTATGCAATTAAGTGTAATCATATCTAAATCAGTTCAGAGCATTAACACTTTTAAATTTCGAAAAAGATCATCTTTAAATGCTGAGGAGGTATGATTATGAAATTTTAGGATTTAAAGAATGAGTTTCAAAAGAAACAAAAATTTCATCACATTCTGGAAAAAAACGGCATGTGTGGTAAGACTAATCATGTCCACATGCAAATAAACGTAGCCTACATAACTGCCTTATGTTCTATGCTGCCCGGGAGAGGTTCCAGGCACCCTGGTTAGCGGTTAGTTTCAGTTATAAATAATTCGCATTAAGGATTCGGGCTTCAAGTAGACATTCAACTATATAAAAATAAAAAGGAAATAGTATCAGCATAAAACACGAGACGATTTCCTGTAATCTATGAAGGATGGACAAATATTTTCTGACAAACTTACTGTTTGTTTTCGACTTCTCTTTCAGAAGAAAGCAACCGAATTCTGTTTTAAGTCAATTCTAAACGCGGACATTTGGGAGGGGCTTTTATTTTGAAGTAGCGCGGGGTTTCCCTGATTGCGTAGCGCGCGGGGCAGGGTGCGCTCTGCTTTTCCATAGTTGCGCAGGCGGCGTACGGGAAGTGGCCGGACCCTGTGGGCGTATTTTAAACTTAGAGCTGCGAAGACGCGCCGGACACCGAGCAGCGTAACCGCCGTTAAACCAGGAGATACGTTAGGACGGAATCCTTCGGTCTCGTAGGGAGCGGCAACGGACCAGCGGGCGCTGACAGGACCGAAGCCGGTTAGCCACTAGCTGGCGGGAGGACGCGCTCGCTACTTCGAAAACTTCATCCATTCTCTTTCTGCTTGTTTGAGCCGTTTACTTTTTTTAATATATATAATTTCCAGATTCAAGTTCGGACACCATGTTCAGCTGGTCCAAAAATGAGGGGAAAAAGAAAGACCCCGAGCTTTTCCAGACTGTGTCGGACGGGCTTAAGCGGCTTTACCGGACCAAATTGTTCCCGTTAGAAGACACCTATCGCTTCCATGATTTCCACTCGCCGGCGCTGGAAGACGCCGACTTCGACAACAAGCCCATGGTACTCTTGGTCGGCCAGTACTCCACCGGGAAGACCACGTTCATCCGCCACCTTATGGAGCAAGACTTCCCCGGCATGCGGATAGGCCCGGAGCCCACCACCGACTCCTTCATAGCCGTCATGCACGGAGACCAGGACGGGGTGATCCCCGGCAATGCGCTGGTGGTGGACCCTAAGAAGCCCTTCCGCAAACTCAACGCTTTTGGCAACGCCTTCCTTAACAGGTGACCTAAAGTCTGCTTTGAACATTTCTTGGGCAGTGTGTTGACTTTTAAAAGTATCTGTTTATCAAGGCTGCCAGGAACCCCCCCCCCCAAATACGTATCCCTAATTATAAAATGAGATGTTCTCAAAAAGAAACTGGGATCGGTTTCTTAACCCGCAAGGAGCAGATCATCTATCCCATAATAGTCTTTGTGTCTAGTGTTCTGCTCCGTAATAATGCAGACATGTATCTCTGTTCTTGATTACGTGTTACTTTAAGCCAACACCCTTAATTTGCTTATGTCTGGAGACGTATAGGTCTTCGCCGTTTATTGATCCAGATTCAGCTTTTAACGTACTGTGGGGCATTGAATGACTCTGCATCCCCATTTACCTACTTAATAGTTACCATTTAAGTCCCTGAGGTCAATATGCTGCGGTTGGTATTCTTGGAAGTGTGTGTTTGGGGGGGTCAAACGTGTGTCTGAAAGAATGGTGCAGTGTTTAAGGCTCTTGATCCTTCTTCACAGGTCCTGAATTTCAATGTAAAGACTGGCCAGAAAGGAATTCACATTATTCAGAGAATTTCCTATTAGACCAACGAAATGGTGTTGATTTCTCAGGGATTACCTCTCACAGAATGAGATCTGCCTTGTCCATGCTATTCTTTTAGGTGAGGCAAATCGTTTCTGAAAGCTTATTTGGGATTTGAAACTGAAAGTCATCCAGCAGCCTTGTTTGGTAGTAGTTGTTTGCTGCTGCAGTTTGTTCTGTGTGGGACCTGAGGACCTGATTGCACCTCACATGCTTTGTGGTTTCAGTTTCTGATGTAGTGAAGGTGATTTTGGGTTCTCTACTGAAGGTGTGGCAGCGACTGATGTTTCATGGAGCAGTGGTGTGTGTCCAGCTGATGCTGGTGTCAGCTGTTTTAGCTCGATGTTACAGGAGGCCGCCTTAAAACAAGATAGCATTCAGTAATTTTTAAGTGAAGGAGTGCTGGTCTGTGTCATTTTTATTTCTATTCTTGTTTAATTGATGTTTGTCCTAAGGAGCTCAGTTTAAATATATACAGTTAAATGTTGCTTTCTCGTAAATTATCCTAAACTGCTTAAGCACAACAGATTACATGTTAGGTGAAAAGCATAATATGTATTAGCATGTATAAGTGTTTTTTTTTTTTTTTTTTTAAAGCAATGGTAACTTTAATGATAATGAATTAGTCTTTTCATAATTGCAAGTCATTACAAGTGTGACTGCTGTATGTTTTATTTAATTTTTAATTTATTTGGGGGTGCCATCTTTGACAAATGCCACATACCCTAATCAAGCAGCTTCAAACAGTATGTTTTTATCTGTAAAACTCATTGTTAAACTGTAGTTCTTTTTGTCAGAATATCTCCAAAAGCTTTTTTATTTGGCATAGAGGGAGCATTGTATTTGAAACGAAGGGAGCCATTGAAAAAACACTGCAGGCAGAGAGCAGTGAAACTGCTTGGACGATGACAGGACGGTCTGTCTGTCCTGCCCACTAAGATGTCTTACCTTTCAGAAACGACTGCCAGCTCTGAGCAGAGTGCCACTACCGCCGTCTTTAAGGGGCCTCGTTACCCTAAAAGGAAGAATGTGTGTTTTTTTTTCTGTTCCTACATCCTGGCTTTGTGGCCTTGAAGTTACATGAATGAAGGTCTTTGGTTGACGCTGCACCCTGCAGAGACTGTGCTGCGGGGAACCACAGGAGACTGCTTACGAGCTGTTTACAGTAAGCTGAGAGGCCATTTATCTTCAGGGCAGGTCACAAGCGATGTCCTCTCCGTTGCAGAACAAAGTCATGAGGAATATGTTTTAACAAACGCTACCTCTAGCAAAACAGAAAGACTAGTGTTAGGTTGTCCATTCATATCCGTTGCTGACTGGTTTCCATTGTGTTTCAAACTTCAGTTCATTCATCAAATTCATTGTTTGGCTGCGCAGTGACATTCCCTGTCTACTTTGCTGGTAAATTTCTGCTCCTTACCCGTTACTGTATGTAAATGACTTATGAAGTTAATGATGGAATGGTGGGATCAAACACAACCTTCATGCCATATGGCCCTGCACGTAGTGCCTTGTGAGTGATAGTGCCTGTGTGTGAGCACTTCATATATATGATATTAGTGATATTATCAGACATTATGTGCTTGAGCCTTGTATTCTGCCTGGTCAGGAGATTCTGGTTGTCATTCTTTCCATTTTGGTGATATGGAAATATCACAAAATGGTGAGTGACACCTCTAAGTAAGAATAGGTTGCAGACCTTTACATGTAAACTCATCTTTGCTTCTAAAACACTGTAAAGTTTAATAAGTAATTTTGAACGTTAATGATTTCTGCCTATATAAAGCCTCTTTGTAGCAAGCAACTGGTGCTACTTGCTGTAAAATCTATTAAAATTAATATTGCATTATAGGGTACTTATAGTAGTGTTAGATTTTAGAAATCCTGTTCAGTCATTGTTTGATAAATTACTTAAAAATAGTTTCTTTGCTGGATATTGAAGTCATGTTTTGTTCAGTTTCCACAGGAGGGTTTAGATGTCTTTACAGTTCGATATTTGTGGTGGCCCTTTTGATGAAAGGTGTTACTGTTAGGGGACTCGTGTGATGCTGAGACATCATACACAATTGGTCATCTCTGACCTGCCCTAGTGGGACAGGAGATTAGAGACTAGTGCCCAATCTCATCAAGGTGATTTTCACAGACCCTGATTAGCATGGCTTTGTTGGCATGGCTTAGTCAAAACTAGTTTGACTGAGTCATGTAACTTTTGACCGAGACTGTAAAGGGCTGAATCGTCAAGTGTGTGAGATTGCACTGTGCTGAGTGTTATTACTGGGGAAATGAGTCAGCAGGTCAGAAGTACCAGTAAAACTCAGGGTGGAAATAAAATGGATATCCTGATGTGTGTGCGCATGCAGCCCTAAACTTTACCACAAGCAACCAGGAAAAATGCAAGACTTTTGGCTATTTGGGTATTTACAGATTTTTTTTTTTTTTTATAAAATCAAGGTTTATATTACAGGCACTTGTAATATGTCCCCACAACTAGTAAAAGTAACAGGTTTTACTTTAAATACAGACCCACTCTCATTTGTGAGATATTTGCTTTTTCTTTCTCCTCACTTAACTTTCTCAAGCTGCTGCAGGCGTGTGAACATCTGAACTTTGTTATCAGGCATCATGCTAGAAAGTGAAATCTGCTGTACACCAGAATTGCCGTTACACAACACCCAAACTTCCCCCACAAGTTTCAGTTTAGCCGGATCATATTAAATTGCTTCACTGGCAGATGGACCCTGCTTTGTGCTGGTCTGCAGTTCGTTCGCTCTTCTCCACTGCATGCTTGTGGACTGCATGGCCTCCCCCAGGAGGAGTGAGCCTCCTTGCTGTATGCCTGCACACATGATAGTTGCTGCTGTTTTCAGTTCCCCCTGGAGGAAGGAGATGAAAAAATGGCAGGGGCCTAGTGTCCTGTGGAAGGGAGGGGAGAACTAGTAAGAAAGTGGAGCAATGGAATGAATGTGGGGGAGGAGTATGTGGGGATTCTAAAGGGGAGGGGCAGCCTTTTTCCATTTGATGGTGACACAAACCAAACGTATGGCTTTTGTAAAAGAGAAGGAGGGGTGAAATTCTAGAGGAGGATTTGGAGGAGCTCACGGTGTATGTGAGTTCCTGTAGATAACTAAGGAAAGAAAAGCAAAAATACCTGCCAGCAGAAGGATTTCATTTCAGAAGGACAAACCAATTCATTTACATTTACAGCATTTAGCAGATGCTCTTATCCAGAGCGACTTACATTTTTCTAAATTCAGGGACAGTCCCCCTGGAGCAAGTTGCTCCCACTACCCAATGATGGTAGTCATTGGTGGACTTGAACCCACGATCCCTTGGTCCAGAGGCAAGCGTCCTAACCGCTAGACCACCAACACGACCTACAATTCAGACGGATGAGGGCTGTTCATTATGGGTATTCAAAATGCCTTGTATGGAAAAATAATCATCTTCATTGCTCAAGGTTTTTTTTTTTCTTCGATGCAACATCATCTGCTGCTGGTTTTATCATGATTGCATCTGGTCATGCTGGGCTTGTTTACTGCATAGACGGCAGAAGTACACTGCAGGAATTAAACGAAATACGTGGATTTGTTGCACTGATGGGTACAGAAATAGACAAATATTGTGATCACACTGACTTTATTCACTTCAAAAAGATGCAAAGGAAAAGGTTGTTCTTTTTTCTCGTGGTTTCTCAGTAACAAAAAAATGGAAATGTAATATATCCCTGTTGGATTGACGGGCTCCAAGCAACGTGGTTGTTTTCTTCCTCGTACATTTTCTTTCTTCCACCTCCTTGTGAAGAAGAGCTGGATTTGTTACGGAAGCTGCCCTGAGGTTCAGGTGTTACTGGACAGTTATGTGCATCAGTGTTGGGTGCATCTGGGAACTCCCTGCCCCCCCCCCCCAACCCGCACACTACATTAATACAAATGTCCATTGTCTGATCATTTAATTGTTGTTTGTGCATTTATAGGTGGTTTTTAATTTCTTGCTTCCTTTTACCATGCTGAGGGCAGTCCAGACTTGTGCGAACATTTGCATGCATTTGTGAGTTTCTGGATTTACGTTTGGTGAGAAAGGTTTGGTCATCCCTTGAGAATATTTGCTAAGAATGGGAGTATTTCCTGGAGAATAGGTTGGAAGGTGCGGAATTATATTATTTTTTTTTACATTTAGATGTAAATGCACACCATGCACATCAAGGAATTGCTGCAGTAAAGTGAGCTGTATAACTAAGTAAAATAAATTATTCTGCATGGAAGTGTCCTCTGAATAGGAAGCTATTGAGGACAATAAAAATGAATTGAAGTGCTTTCTGTGATAAGGCTGTAATCCAGGCCTCTCTTCCTTCCTTCTCCAGGTTCATGTGCGCTCAGCTGCCAAACCCTGTGCTGGAGAGCATCAGCATCATCGACACGCCAGGCATCCTGTCTGGAGAAAAGCAGAGGATCAGCCGAGGTCTGCCTCCACAGCTCTCTGCCCCTCCTTCCGTCCTCCCTCCCTTCATTTTTTGTTTCCTGTCTCCTTCCTATATAATTCCCATTTAATTTAAACTAGTACAATAGATAGTCAGCACAGCACGGCACATGAGATAGGAGCGGGCTCCCTTAAGAGCTTCGCTTTTGTTAAATTGCAAAAAAAACAAAACAAACCAAAATAAAAGCTTGCAGTTGAACTGACACACAGGGCCCATGTGCTTTCCTGCCTCTGCAGTAAGACGTGTCACTCTGTAGCAGGCAGCTCTGTTTTATGTTTTCGGCTTAGAGGTGCCGAGTTCCACGTCAGCTCATCTCAGAAATATCAACAGATCGTCTCTTCATCTGCGGGATAGAGCTGGATCTCCAGCCAGGGAAAGGAACAGACCCAGTTAGAAAGATGGAAAGATGCAATCACTACAATTTGTTAGTGTGCTGGAGGGGTTTTTCTTGCTCTTTATTTTTAAAGGCCCCATCTGTATTTTTGTCTTTTGTATAATGGAAGGTTGTGCATGTGGTCTAGGTGGCTGGGGTGAGCAAGGCAGAACCAACCTCTGAAAGTTAGTCTCCTCAATGCCATTTAAGGTGCTTTTGTCAGGAAATTCAGAACAGCCTAAAAGAACAGTCATGGCTATAGGGCTGCTTATAGATATGCCACTGTACTCAGTAGTTAGATTTAGTTAATTATAATTGTTATTCAGTCATTTTTAATGTACCCATTTTTTTTTTCATAAGGCATATCAGCAGACATATTGCCTTTGTTTTATAGCTGTTCCTAATTATATTTGTGTTTACTCTTTAATAATTTCAAACCAAATTCACTTTTCCTTCCTGTACCAAAATTCAACCCAACACGTACGATTTTTTTTTTTTTGTGTGTGTGTGAGAACTGGTACTTCTCTAGTGCATATGTGCATTCACCCCTCATCAGCCGGTAGCCACATGCCCGAGTCAGCTGTCCGGGGCCAGATTTAAAATGGAAAGCACCGCCCAGACGTCTGACAGCTGGGGAGTAGGAGCTGTGTGTAGGATGAGGGTACGCAGGTTGGGGGTGTGGGGGGGGGGGGGGTGGGCGGGTGGGTGGGCGCAGCCCTGGGAGCCTTATCAGGGCCTGAATCCGATTCAAAGCAGCAGAATAGTGAGAGCGGGTTGCTTTCAGCTGGGACGGCCTTAGCAGGGCAGTGTTTACATTCTTAAAGAGAGTGTGAAAACAGAGAGCCTCTTCTCCCTGGGCTGTGACTCCTGTTCTGGGGAGAGTCGGCGCTTCAGAGTGGCCTGTGGCGAATGGATATGGATGAGGTGCACAGGTAGTGTGCAGGCGGGCTTTTGTAGTCAGAGTGACGTAAGCAAGACGGGGTGTCTGAGTGACGGGTAAGTAGACTGGCACAGGAAGCACAGAACGGCCTGTTTTTCTCAGACTCTCGTGGGGAATTCCAGGGAAACCTGATCCAAGCTAGCAAGCGTATCCCATGTTAAGCCCGTATGAAATGTGCTGGATGGAACTGTACCTAACCTTTAAATAATACAGTCTGCAACACTTCTTGTGTTTCATTTCAGTTTTGTGGCTCTTTCATGAAGTGTTCCTTTACACTACTGTTTTCAGTCACGCTGTGAGGTTTAACCGAAGTGAGCTTGAGTTTTTTTCCTGGTTTTGCCGATGCTTTTACGCCGTACATTTGCGTCTGTCCTGTGCTCTGAGCTTCTGATAAGTTAAATCCTACTATTCCTTATTTTACTGCATATTCATATGTTAAAGCTTTCTTCATTTCCACATATTCTTGTTGACTTCTGCCTTGTCTTTGGTATTCAGTCACTTAAGCTGTTTTTTTCAGTCAACACCCCCCCCAGTCTTCTTGCCACTCCATAAGAAATAAGTTTATACAGGCATGTCCTCATGTCAAAGGTCTCAATGGAGTCAACAAGGAACCACAGGCCAACCATGTGCTCAAACACACGTTTACAGTAAGCAGAAGTTCTCTGTGGCTGGTAGAAACTACAGTTTTTCTGTTTAAACTTGTCAGTTTGTGTGTGTGTGTGTGTGTGTGTGTGTCGTAGCGGGTTCTCCTCAGACTGCTCTTTTTAAAGTGTGTAACTCTCTCCTGATTGGAGCTTGCGTGGGTCCTTCTCTGAATCCTGATTGGAGCTTGCGTGGGTCCTTCTCTGAATCCTGATGGGAGCTTGCGTGGGTCCTTCTCTGAATCCTGATTGGAGCTTGCGTGGGTCCTTCTCTGAATCCTGATTGGAGCTTGCGTGGGTCCTTCTCTGAATCCTGATTGGAGCTTGCGTGGGTCCTTCT